CTTATTGACATAAATTCGTAAAATGGTAGTTTAATAAAAGTTTGTATGCTAGTCAACAAACGAGATGACATCGCCTTTCACCAGTGACCCATCTTGAAAGGGTTAACAGACATGATTATGGGCTGTTGTCATATAATTTTTCACCCTTATCCACGCTGTTATGTTAATCTACTTATGTAAAAGTTATTTTAAAAGAGAACTCCAGATAAACTGACTAGTTTTAGAAATTCTGACTATTTACTATTTCAGTCAATTATTGAACAATGTGTGTGCATTTATTGTTTATTTAAAAGGTTGATATGCATTTCTAATAGTAAGCATAATAATTATCTACAACTGTTTTTTGAAAGGCTCTTTTTATACATTATACAGCAGAGTTGCACTACCAACCAATATATGTTACTTTAAAAAACTGTTTATTTTAACCTTAATCATATCACTGGTCTTTCAGGATTTTATTATACATATGTAGAAAAATTAATATAACAAGTTTATCTATTAGAATTTTATTATTGATGGATTGAAAATCTGTACATGAAATAAACAATAAAAAAGAAAAAAATTTTTTTTTAACACAGTTAACATTTTCTCCTTATCTTTTCAGGCTCAACTAATTAGCCAGACAAAATGTGCAAAGGACAGGCCAAAGGTTCAAGACATAGATTGGGCTGGGTCTGATAGACCTGTATTAGCAACAGCAGATGGATGTTTTAAGATCACTGATATTAACCTGAAAGTTTGCTCTTCTCCACTTCAAGACCATCACCCAACAGGTTTCTTCTCTTTAAAAATCACAAAAAACTTAAATGTACCATTTTGAAACTTTGTTAATTATTACTGTTTCCCTTCAGAGAGGTAGTAGGGTGATAAGTTATTTCTATCTCTCTCTATAGTTATCTGGAGCAAGTACCTGATATTTCTACTAATCTCAGCTTTTTGCTCAGATATTACTGAAACACAGCAGTATTTACAGCTTATGCTAGATTATGTTGCAGTGAGTGAGAATTGGGCAAGATTTATGGTTTTAGTAATATAAACTGCAGATTGAACAACAGTTTTACAGAAATGTGTGGCTTTTTGAATATTTATTTTTCTAAAGGCACTGAGCTCTTCTCTTGTTTTTCAGCTCAGCAGCTGTACTTGTACAAGCTAGAATAGATGTGCTTGTTTTGAAAGATGACTTTTTTGGTTTTCACATAAAAATTTTTTTATCTTCTCTCAAAACTCAGATGTAGAAGAAATTAATCATACTTAATAACTACAAAATGTGCTTGTTTGGTGTATTTAAAAGTAATTGATGTATAAGCCATATCTTTTTTTGCATCAGTGTTCATCTGCAGAAATAAATTATAAGTTAATTTCCTAAAAACATTGTTTATTTATTTTCTCTTTTAAAATGTTAGAAGGTTTAATACTGTAAATGTTGCAAATGTTTAGAACTTCCACTCAGCCTTCACATGTTGCCAGTAAAACCTGCTTTTCACTTCAAGAGTCTTCTTCAGCATCAGCCATGGCAAGAAAGTTACACACTCAGCATCAAAGAAGAGGATGGGTTTAGTCCAGATGAAGTTAGCATTCTTCAGAAGCAGATAGAAACAATTGATTTGGAAATCCAGGAATACTTAAAGCACTGCCCATTTGGAATAGCTGAACGTTGTTTACTAGTGGCTAGGTGTGTATCTTTCCTGTTTCATTTTTACAGTAATAGTTAATTCAATGAAAACTTAATATAATTTGGCTTTATAATGGACTTCACAACAAAACAAAGTATAATTAATCAGAACTTTTATTTGGAAATAAAGGTATCCTTTATGAGGAAACCAGTAACTTGATGATGTTAAGGGAGTGTGTTTATAATGTGAATTTTTTAAAATATTTTACTTAGAAGTTAGTTTGGGAAGGTTGTTAACATTGTACATTTTATCTGAAAGTTAAGTTGCAAATAATATGATTAAATAGTTAACTTTGTTTCCACCATAATGAGAGCAGTCATGTATGAATAACAATTGGTGAGTGTATCATGAACCTTGTTACTTCTGAGAGGTCTAACTTGTAAAGCTTTTCTTATTATTTACCAGGTTAATTGGAGACAAGGAAGCCTATCAGTTCTGGAAAGTAGCTGTACATTATTTGAAGCAAGAAGAATTAGCATTGGAAGTAAAGGTTAGATTTTATGTTTTGTTTAAAAACCTAGATTTATCAAGAGGGAGTTATTAGCAAGTATCAAGATCAAGCTGATATCTAGTGTTAAACTGTACTGATGTAGTTTTGCAAGAGCATAGTAGAAGTTTTTGTGTAGTTCAATAAAATTAAACCTATGATGTACATGTAGATAAAAAAATATGAATTACCAGAACACGCATGAAGATGAGTGTAATTTCAAATAAATAAATAAATCAAATAAATGCATATCAAATTTCAAAACTTAAGTAAAAAAAATGATTCCAACCCTATTTCAACACTTTTTTTATTCAAAAATATTTGAGATTTGATATATTGTCATTTATTAACATTTATTCAGTCCAATTCACAAAGAAAAATTAAAAATTGTTCAAACTTACAATAAAAGGAATAATGATACTTAAGATAATCAATGGAAGGGGTCACAGATTAACATGTATGTATATTAGTTATTTACTTAAGAATGATGTAATTATTTTATTTTGCTTTAGATATTGAAGGTGGAATCTGTAGAATTCCAAAATGTTTATCTGTGTCCCCTTCTGTTATAAATAAATAACGTTGTTTAACTTAAGTATCGTTATCCTTTTTATTGTGAAACTTTGTTTTCCTTGAAATTTATATTTTTGCACAGAATTTTTCTGGCCATCCCAAAGCATAGGTTTTTATTTACTAGAAACCATCTTACCTTGTGAATGCAATTAGTCAAGTCTTGTTTCCCTCTCTGTCTCACAATTTCTTATTACAGACCTCATTTGATATCCTATGCTGTGAGTTCATAAAAGGGTGGGAACAACTATTAATGGAGAACAATTTTGGAAATGGCAAAAGAGAAAGTTATAATATCACGAGATAGGACAGATTATAATCTATTTCCTTCAATATAACATGAATAAAGTGATGTGAGAAACGATTTATGGTTTGTGAGAAAGTGATTAGATGTAGATTAGAATAACGGAATTTAGTGGGAAATTTAGAAGACTTAGGAACAAACCACAGATCTGGGATTCTTTTATAGTTTCTTTAGACATTTTTTTTTCACAAAAATGTTTTCATGTTGAATTGTATTTGTTTGATAGATATGGAAGTTTTCTTCTAAGATAAGACATTGGAGAAGCCTAATTAGGTTTAGAGAGTATGGTACTGATGGCAAAATTTTACAATCACTCATATGTGACTCAATCCTCATTTATTGGATATTGTTGTTAAATTTATTATATTAAATCAGTGCACATAATTAAAATAACTTATAATTTGTAGAAAACAAAGTATACTTATTAGATTATAAACTAATTACAACCAATAAATATTTTTAGCAAAACTATTGTTACTTAGCCTTACCTGATACCATTTTGAAAAGTTTTTAAGTTGCCAATAAATCTTTTTCAGTTTACGTAGTGTTTTTTATGATTTACAGCTTGAGATGGTGACTACTGCAATCAGTAAAATAAAATTTTAAAAGATTTATATATTAATGAAAACTTATTGAGTTGCAATTAATTAGGTTTGTAACATATGTAACATGGAACTTTCTGATCAAGAACAACAATAAAAAATTGAAATTTTAAGATTAGAGTAAGTATTCTTAGTCCTTTTTTTTTTTCTCCAATAAGGTGCTTCACAATATAATTTCTGAAATTTCATGGCATAAAAATTAATTAAGAATAATTAAATAAAATAATATGTATTGTAAATGTTGAAATAGATATCCTTTAGTAACTTTGTATTAAGTTGGTTAAGTGACCCCTCCTCCACTCCTGGTCTGAAAAAAGTTAAACCTATATTATTAATAGGTAATGTTATGTGTTGCTGAACTTTATATAAACAACTGAATAGAAATTTATCAAAGCATTAATGAATGTGTAAGTAGTTTAAAACAAATAATCTATGATGTGTGTTGTGCATTGTTAGGGTTTTAGACAGAGTCTTGCCATAATATGAATGAGGATAAATTTAGTTTAAGATGTAGTAAATCATAAACTTGAATATTTAGTGTTACACATTATTAGACTTCAGATAAACAAGAAGAGAAAGACTTACTGGAACTTAGTGGAGATACATTTAAACCAAGACAAAAACAAAGCTGTATAGATAATCAAAATATCTTGTCTCCCTTCAACGAAGAATACTTGGACACTTGTTTTGACACCATATGTGATAACCATGTATATCAGGTATGCTTTGATGATATAAGTATTGCATTTTTTTGCAGTTATAATTGTCATATTTGCCAGAAGCTACAAAACTTCATGTTTGTGATGTAAATACTTTTGCAGTTTTGTCAGTGTAGGTGTGGTTGTTTGCATTATGGATGGTCTTTAATTGATGTATGTTAAATGTGAGGTCTTGAATTCCCAACATATTTCCATGCATACACATTGTTTAATATTCTTAAAATAAGAACTTTTTTCACATTTGTAACTTATAAAAATAATCTTGTAAATATAACAAGGAAAATTTATAGACAACTTGTGATCAAGTTGGTTCTTGTAAATTTTGTGAATGAGCCTATTGTTTTAGTACTTGGATAATATTAGTTTAAAAAATGCTCAACTAGTATACAACAGTGTACACAATTTTCTGTACTTCAGCTATTAAAGCTTTAATATATGCAGTCAGAATGGCAGTAAATTTGAGGTAAGTGTAAAGTTTCAGCTGTGGATTATCCATTTTTTGGTATTCAGGATGAAGCCAGTTCACAGCTAAGTGTTGTATAGGATTTAAGAAATATGTTCAAGTCAGTGTATAGCATTTAAATGAGTTCATATTATTGACTTCATTAAATCTTCATTACGTATACCTTTATTGGCCAGCTAAGATGAGTCCATATTAATGAATTCATTAAATCTTCATCACATATACCTTCATTGGCCAGCTAAGATGAGGTCCATATTATTGACTTCATTAAATTTTCATTACGTATACCTTCATTGGCCAGCTAAGATGAGTCCATATTAATGAATTCATTAAATCTTCATCACATATACCTTCATTGGCCAGCTAAGATGAGTCCATATTATTGACTTCATTAAATCTTCATTATGTATAACTTTTTTGGCCAGATAAGATGAGGTCCATATTATTGTCTTCATTGAATCTTCATTATGTATACCTTTATTGGTTAGCTAAGATGAGTCCATATTATTGTCTTCATTGAATCTTCATTATGTATACCTTTATTGGTTAGCTAAGATGAGTCCATATTATTGACTTCATTAAATCTTCATTATGTATAACTTTTTTGGCCAAATAAGATGAGGTCCATATTATTGACTTCATTAAATCTTCATTACGTATACCTTTATTGGTTAGCTAAGATGAGGTCCATATTATTGACTTCGTTAAATCTTCATTAGGTATACGTTCATTGGCCAGCTAAGATGAGGTCCATATGATTGATTTCGTTAAATCTTCATTATGTATACGTTCATTGGCCAGCTAAGATGAGGTCCATATGATTGACTTCGTTAAATCTTCATTACGTATATGTTCATTGGCCAGCTAAGATGAGGTCCACTTGGATGACTAGTTTTTTATCTTAATCACCCCAATTTTTCCATACTCTTATCTCAGTAATTTATGGCTATAATAGTTTTTTAAGTATAATTTTAGTAAGTAAGTAAGTGCTTAAAAAATTTTAAAACTGACTTTTTAAATTTTAATAATGCTGTTTTATGTTATGTTTTTAGGGAATTAGTTGTTGTTTTTTTTGCCATTTCATAATCATAGTTGATTGATCAGACACGCTTGGAAACATAGGTATAAGCATTAAATGTTCTGTCATTTAATGCTGATGGGTTTTTATCACTAATTTATTGATTATATAATCTTTCTATTGTTTATTTATAAGAAAAAATATTAACATTTAGTATTGCTGTCACACCTTTTATTGTGGTGAGCACAGCACAGATAGCCCATTGAGTAGTTTTGTGCATAACTACAAACAAACAATTTATTTATAATATATTATTTTTTGTAAAGAAACTTCAACTTGAGAGGCTGCTTCTCCATGATTCCAAAAGAACAACTCATAGCCAGAGCAGGAAATGTGCAGAACAGTTTTTACTTCTTGGACAGACTGATCGAGCTGTTCAGTTGCTTCTAGAGGCTGAAACAGGACAGGAACACTATTATGTGGATAGTCTGAGGTATGATAAAATGCAGTGTAGATAACCCGAAGCATGGTAAAACTGAGGTATGCTAGAAATGCTGTGTAAGTAACCTAAGCTATCTTAGACAATGTACAAAGAGTCTGACATGTAAAAGATATATTGTAAATAATCAAGACTGTAAAACATTGTTTAGATAGCCTGAGATATGAATGGAGTGTGGTTTGTAAAGCCTAAGATGCAACTCAAATACTACTTAGACAGCTAAGATAAATGCTTGAAACACTATTATGATAATCTAAAATGTATTATTTAAACACTATGAAGATAGGCTAAGATATGGGAGAAGAACATGGTAAAGATAACCTGAAATGTGATAGGGCAAAAAAAGTGAAATGTGACAGAAGCACTTTTTCTAAATAGCCTGAGACTTGATAGGTGTATTCTATGTAAATAGTCAAGATATGTATAATGAACCATTGCTTAAGCAGTCTCAAATGTATCAAAATGATGTAATAGTCTAAGATACAATAAAAATACTAGTTAGCCTGAGGTATGTTAAAAACACTAAATAACTTCAGGTATGATAGACACACATTGTAGATAGTGTAAATTATAATGGAAAATATGCATAGATGACTAGTTTAAGATGTTATAGAAATAACCTGACATATGTTATAAACTTTTAGGTTGTTGATACATATGATTAAAATTCTATGTACATAGACTAATGTTTACTAATAATACATAGAACACTAGTTAGTCTGAATTGTATTAGAAGCAAAGTGTAACTGCTGTGTATATAATTTAGGAAATGAGTGAAACACCATGAAAATAATTGCAGATCTTTGAAATAGTGTGTAAATACTTTGACATATGGTAGAGGCAGTAGGTAGATAGCATGAAATGTTATAGAAACTGTAAAGATATTTAGAGATGTAAGAGTATATCTGTACATAGCCTAAAGTATGATAGAAACACTATGTAGATCTTTTAGATATTGTTAGAACACTACAACATAGGCTGAGGCCACCACTAAGCTTTTTTAATAATATTGGTATGGAATAAAAGCATTAATTTTATTGTATGTCGGTGATCATAAACAGAGTAAACTTGTGTTAGGTGTTTTTTGAATCAAAACAAAGACAATTTGCAGTTTTATAAAATAAAATCTATTTGAAAGCTTCGTAATAATGTAGGAAGACATAGAAATTAGTAATTGATATCTACAACAAAAGTAAGCATTTTTAACTGTTTCTTAAAAGACATTTCACAAAAAAAACATTCAAATTTAGAAAGCTGATAAGTTATACAAATATCACATGTAGAAATATTTTAACAGAAGTTGCATAACCTGTAGAAAGTTTAACTCAAGTTTCAAACAACTTAATCAAGTAGTTTTTTTAATACAATGAAACAAATCAAGTGACAGTTGCATCAAATCAGTGTGCCTGGGTGTTTAAGGGTAAAGCTAGATAAATTAAATCAAGTGGTAAATTATTCTTTTTTGGGGGGGGGGGTAATTGCATCTTTACCAACTATTCTTTATATTTAGTTTATTTAATGATTTCATGTACCTGCTAGAGCCTGCTTGATTGCTACCATTCGTTCGTCTGGAGCTTCCCAGTCGGTGATCAAGTTGGTTGCTACAAATCTTATTGCTAGTGGTGCTATTTCAGAAGGAGTAGAGCTGTTGTGCTTGATTGATAAGGGGAGTGATGCATGTCGATATCTGCAAGCAGCAGGCCAATGGGAGAAATCAGTTCGATTAGCCAAGGTACTTTTTCTTTTGTCAGACAGTCTATAAACCTTGTTTTCTTGAATTCAAAACTTGATTGTGAATATTAGTAAACTAGTTACTTAAAACTTTACTGCAAAAAATGTAGTTTGGTGCTTCTGAAGAAGTCATAAGAAGAGCTAAAAACAGCTAAAATGAGGTTTAAAAAAGAACACAAAATATTACTACATTAATATGGCATCATCAGGTTATTAAAAAAACATCAGCCAATTAATACACCAAAGTGACATAGTCATCTGATTAAAGGAAATAAAAATAGGAACTACTGCCTTGCATTTTATTTGTTAATGGTTCTACTTGTTTAAGTATAATAGCTTCTTTAATTTTATGCTTTTCTCTTTCTGTTTAAAAAATGAACTTTTCAAACTTTGTTGATTATGTTCCATGTAATGAAAATGTTCAAGTTATTGAGATCTTCCATTAACCTGGTACTTAATTTGTACCAAGGTTCTCCAGTACAAAATTTACTGCAATACGAACAAGTCTAAAGTAGTCATTAAAGGACATTAAGAAAAAAATTTTTGCATAAAAGTTTATTGTGAAGTTTGTTTTTAGGTCATACTTCCTTACACAGAATGCCAGGAAGTCCTAAAACGATGGACAGATTATCTTTGCTCTCCTCACATGAATCAAAAGGTAAGTTTTTATTAATTCTGCTTTGGTGTAAACATATACAGAATGATGAAAAGTATTTCATGTGTGTATGGATGTGTGCATGAACAATCCTTTATAGGCAGATTTTCATCACAAATTTTATGGGTGATTTGTTTAAAAAGAATTGATTGTTTTAATTGCTAGGGAATTCTAAAAAACATGCATGTGTATCTTTGTGTAAATGAAATAAATTCCACAATAAGTCACAGAAAAGAGGCCCAGTGGCAAAGCGGTATGTCTGTGGACTTACAACACTAGAATCTGGGTTTCAATACCCGTGGTGGGCAGAGCACAGATAGCCCATTGTGTAGCTTTGTGCTTAATTACAAACAAACACAGAAAAGAGTGTGATGTTTTTATGTCCATCTATATTTTAACATCCATGGAAATACGTAATTAGGATTACTGACTGCTTGGTGGTCAAATCTGTTGCACTGTAGTAACCCAAATTGTTAATCTTGATTTATAAATAAATAACTGGTACTTAATTTTTATTGGTAAATAACTCCTACATAACCCTAATTTGTGACTAAATAGCTTATAAATAATCCTGATTTGTGGATAAATAACCACTATTTAACCTGGATTTGTACTTAAACTTTGACTTGTGAGTAAATATTGTATTAGGTAACCCTTGTTTGTGATTAAATAACTCAAACTCGTAAGTAAGCCTTATTTCTAATCAAAATAGTTCATAGCCAGCCCATAATTGTAGTTAGGATAACTCATATTTGACCTTGACTTGTGGGTAAATATTTCATAGCTAATCCTGACTTATGGATGAATTTATCTATAAGTAACCCAGATCTGTAACTACAATACTTAAAGCTAACCCTGATTTGTAGGTAAGTAACTTGTGATTAACTTTGACTTGTTGATGAGAATACCTCATGAACACACTGATTTGTTAAATAATCTATATATTACCTGCAATTGTGGACAAGAACTTGTAACTTGCCTTGATAGTGGATGAATATTATATAGCCAGTCTTGATTTTTGATCATGAACCCAAGGGTACATTTCACCATTTAATAGAAAATCACTTTATTCTTGACTTTTAAAATAATTTATTAAATTTACTTTTATATTAACTGAACACTTTACTGTGTGACATTGCTGGGTGGCTTATGTATCTAACAAGAAATTGAACATTTACTTCTAGACTAAAGCTCTTCTTGTTCTTCTGTCAATGGGACAGTTTGAGAAAGTGTTGGAAATGCTTCGTACTTTCCGGATGACAGAGAGGGCAGCACTATTCGTGCAAGCGTGCCAAGAATTTGGTGCTATAAAGAAGAATGAACAAACTGATATCTTTTTGTCGTTGTTGTTCTAGTTATATATATATAGACACAAGAGTTTTATATTGTTAATGGATGATTTAACATAAGTTAGTGAGGCAGTTAACAGAAATTTCCTCTTTTTTTTTTTAATTGAGATATACAGGAATGATGAGAGCCAGCATGGGCCCTGGGGCAAACATCCTTACCGGGCCCCCTTTCTCTCTCTCTCTTTTTTAACATTTTCAAGAATTTATTAAAAAAGAAGATCCTAAATTATGACATTAACGAGCTCATAAACCAGACAAAAATCATAGCAGCAGCCGTTTTTTCCTCACAGTATAAGCATAAAAACGTTAATAAAGCAACAACAAATATCTATTAAATCTATAAAGTAGTAAATACATATCAATTATTACTCAAATTATTATTTCAGTCATTCATAATGTATCAAGCATCTATATGCAAAGAAAAGCCAAAAACTATGGTTTTTATCATTAAATGCTTTGTAGGCTTTATGCCATAACCAGGTTTCATTTGCCCAGGCCCCTGGGCAGTTGCCCCCACCACACCCCCATGGGCGGAACTGGAGATATGTAATCTGAAAGGTTTATAAAACAATTTGTTGTTGAATGGTCATATATGTAGACATTTGTAACTTGAATGATTGTTAAAAGGTAGCTTATCTTATTGGTATAAGATGTAACTTTAAAAATTACACTTCACTAACATAATCTAGTTCACACAATATAATTGTTCATGCCATTTGATAATAGAATTAGCATCTCAACCACTACTATGTCTGTTGTATTTCAGCCGATCTTATGAGCTCTGGTATTAGATAAAGCAGACAGAGTGTGGTTGAAATATTGTTATACATTCTTCTTCACTTTAAGTCTTAAGTTCTTAGAATTGAATGGATGATATATTTATTTAAATATAAATTATTTTATATTCAATTCTAATTATTGTTGACCCGATTGTTTAAATAATGTGTTGGTACATGATATACCTTTAATAGTTTGTGGTGTAATTCATAGAATATATTTTGTTTATAGAAAATGTAATTTGAAAGGTTCATGAGATAACAGTAAGTAGAACATGGATTGGTCCTGTGGTAGAGCTCTGGATTTCAGAACTGGTGAGCCAGGGTTTGAATCCATGTGATACCACAAAATATCCCAAATACTTTTAGCTCTGTGTGCTTTATAAGAGTGACAATCAATCTCTTAGCATGGATGGTTGGTGGTAGGGTGCTGCTTTCCCTCTGGTCAGTAGTTCAAAATTAGGGACAGCAGCAGATAGCTTTGCTATAAGTACAAATATAGAATGGATGGTTGGTGGTAGGGTGCTGCTTTCCCTCTGGTCAGTAGTTCAAAATTAGGGACAGCAGCAGATAGCTTTGCTATAAGTACAAATATAGAATGGAAGTAATTTTTTTATTTATATAAAATGCAACTATAATGATTGGTGAGAAAATTGATCAAAAATATTTTTATTTTGTTCATACAAAACTTAATTCATATGGTTGGTGAAAAAATTATAGAAGATAGATTGGTTTTGTTTTGTTAAGTACAATTAATGATTGAATGTTTATCAGAAGGTGTGGTTTCTTTGGAGTGAAAGGAACAGTTTTTCAATCACAGTGATGAACTCTCTTATTCCTTTACTAAATTCACTAGACATTATTGACACAGTGCTACTAGACTATGCTCGTTACTTGCTATCTGTGAACAACCGTCGGGGAGCACTGCATTATTGTGAGATGGTTGGAGAGAAAGGGAAAGACTTGAAGAAAGAGATTGAATACTTGTGTGAAGAGCAGTAACAGAGTATTAATAAAAACATTCTTTTAAGTTTGTAATTAAAAGTTTTGTTGTGATTAGAAAACAATCCACTAATGAAATATATTGAAAGAAATATAAAACATATTAACTTAACTATTAAAAATATCTATTCATAATTATTATTTGTGACATGCAATATAAGTGAAATAAGGAGCTGTAGGTATAACCTAATGTTGATTTGTTTCAAAAAGTTGTTTTACTTCAAAATTAAACGAATGGTCTTTGTAAACAGCATGAAATCTACCATAAAAGATCAGGAAAAATATACTGCTGCTACTCAGCATTTCACTTTACAGCTTCTTCTCCAGCTGATAGTACTAGGCTTGAAGTTATTTAACATTATCAGAATATTAATATAGTTTCATGCACTTATTTGTATGTGTGTGTGTGTTATATTGCTGTTAGTCTTCTGTTAATATTTTCCATAGTCACTCTTCCGGGGTCCGAGGGGAACCTGTCATAAAAAATGATTTAAAAATACTTAAATAGTAATAATAGTAACTATTATTTTGAAAACAAAAAAAACACTAACACTCAAAATATTTTCTTTTACTGATCAATAAATGAACATTGAATATTACAACTTGTTTCTTTTTTACCACCTAAACTAAGTGTAACAACTGAACATCTGTAACAACTAGCTGAATATCTGTTATTTAATTGCACTATTCTGTAATATTTCAAAAATGTAATGTTCAACAATAATTACACTTGTACAAGTTTGCATATTGAAGTATTTTAGGATATTCTGAAGTAGTGAAACCAGATTAAGCCTAGTGCTGTCATTTTGAAAATTTGTGTAGGGCACTCCCAAAGTAGCTGTAAAGTGAATCATTGAGTTAATGCAGTGAAACCTCATTAATCCAAATATTTGTAAAGAACTAGTTCTTGTGGATTACCAAGACATCAGAATAATCTAGCCAGTCACTTTGAATACAGTGAACATTATCATGCAAAGGTGCAAACTAATAAGAGTGGGCATGAACTGGTAAACAAAAAGTAACTGTCTGTGAAATAAACTTATCAGTCTATTATTTTATACATCATCAATAATTGTACAAGTTACATGATCAAGGTGTCATGTTATTATTTTTACATGTTAATGTGGCTTTCATTTAGGTTTCTTATATAAAAATTCATCACATTTCAATTATGTGTATAATTATATGCATCTTTGTTTTGGAGCACTGTGAGTTGAGGTGACTGTAGTATAAATCACTCTGATGACCTCTCGATACCTGTTATAGTTTATATGTATATCCTTACTGTGAAGGTCATTCTTAGAAGGACTGTCATAAAAAGGTACCCATTTCAAATGTAGGGGTTTTTGATCAGTAATAATCTCCTAATTTCCTGTTCTGATCGACTCCTATTTGGGTCTTGTGGAGTTACTTATTCATACAAAATGTATGTTTGTTATGAGAAATATTTGTTCGGATTTAGAACGTGAATTTATGTATTTTTGACTAAATTTCCTCTTGCAAAGATTGTCGTACGAAAGATCATCTGAATTGTGAAAAATCTGGAATGTCATTGTTTGTACTAATGAGGTTTCAGTGGATAGAATTTTTTCTAAACTCCCATGGTCATTTTCATACTTTTTATTATGTCACCATTACTTCAATTAGCATTGTGTAAGTTTAATTGGTCTTTGTATCTACTTTGACACTCAATTTCCACAAACTGAATGCTTTTAGAACATTCCATTTTATAATGTAAAATGTTTTTCTAGTATGTTTCTTTTGTTTATAGAACATGTGGATATTTGTAAAAGCATATTTTTATTAAACATTTTATTCCATACTGCATCAAGTTTAGCTTATACCAGAAATTGTCTTATGCTTTAATGTTGAAATAAATCACTATTTAGTTCTTCTTATCTCTCTATCATTATTAGCACACCATTTGTTTCACCTTTATAATATTTTTTATGGTTTTTCAAAATTAAATGACCCATATATCAACTGTGGAGTTATTGTTTGAGATAATGCAGCAGCTCTCCACCAATAGAAGTGTTACACAACCCCTATCGTAACCAGCACTCATTAATTACTTGTCGGTTGGCAATAATACTGTACAGACATGCTTGTTTTTGCTCGCAAATTTTTTGATGTTTTCATTTATGATACAGACTTAGGTTTTTCTTTACTATGTTTTTGTTATTTCTTTATTTGCAGGGTCCTCTTTGCTAGTGTATTGTGAATCCCACTCTGTGGCAAGTGGTGCCTGACCGGTATATTTTTTTTGAACATCTGCACTGTCCATCCTGTGACCATTATCAATGTCATTTACGTTGTAGCTATTCCTACCTTGGACCTGATGTACAATTCCAGATGTTGCCAGGTCTTGGTTGTGTGTCTCCGTTCAATTGTCATCTATGCCAAAACAGTTACGTTGCAGGATTAGGTTATGCACACCATAGAGATGGGGTGTTCTGTAGGATTGCTAGTAGTTCTCTCTATTGGTCTTTTGCTTCATAAATATGTTTGTCTCAGACTGTACACTTATGGACATGCATGAGTAAAGCAGACAGGGTTTGCTGCCCATCTCTGATGCTCCCTGGCATTGAGACTCTTCCTACCGCTGACCTGATGTACAATTCCAGATGCCACTAGGTTTTGGTTAATAAACTCTGTCGACATGGTAGCTCTGCTTTTCAAAATAAGATATCGAGGTCACCTGTTGCATTGTCTCTGGTGATGTGGTCCTTTGGACTCTGTAATGTGTTTTCCCTCCTTTTTTTCTAGTGGAGCATGTGAGTTCTTGCCACTTACCAGTTTCTAGCTACTGGGGTGGTGGACCATGGAGGTCTGTCTTCTTGAGTGATGCATCATACCACTCGGATGAGAGTAGGGCAGTGGCATTCTATGGGTATTGATGGCATATAGCAATTCTTACCTCATACCTCATGTACAATTCCAGATACCTCCAGGTTTTGGTCATAGCACTATACTGTAGTAATGTCTATATATCTGACAGATTGCTTTTCCAGCCTTGGCATTCCTCCTTCCTGCTATCCTCCAGATGTACATTCCTGGTAGATCTGGTGCTTGTTAGAGATGGCCCGGGCACAATTAGAATCATATGTCAATAGTATGATGTCCTTCATACTGCAGACCTGATGTACAATTCCAGATACCACCAGGTTTTGGTTGAAGCACCTTGCCACATCACTACTATATATATATATATTGCAGTTTGCCCCTCAGGGTGAGACATTCCTCTTACCTACCATCCTCAGGGTTAGGTTCTTGGGGGAACAAGTGTTGGTTGGAGATGGTCCAGCTAAGTAAGTCCTTGCATATTTTCTGGCCGGTATCCCTCCTTCTACTAGAGACTGGATGAAAAATGCCCAATGTCACCAGGTTTTGGACTGGAGATGCACCCCATGTTTGCAGTCCCTCTTCCTACTGTCTGCTGGATATCAGTTCCCGATGGATCTGGTGTTGGTTGTAGCTGGATGCAGCTCATGTATTCCCATTTGAGTACAGCCGGATATTCTCTTCCTGTTGTGACATGGAAGAACCACACCCAATGCTACCAGGTCTTGGACCAGAGATGCACCCCATATTTGCAGTCCTTCTTTCTACTGTTTGCTGGATGTTAATTTCCAATGGATCTGGTGTTGGTTGTGGATGGATGCAGCGCATGTATTACCACTTGTGTACAGCTGGATATTCTCTTCCTACAGTGGCCCAGAAGAACCATACTCAATGCTGCCAGGTTTTGGACCAGAGATGTCATCCAGTTGGGGCTTTCCTCCTTCCTACCATCTGCTGCATGTTGGTTTGTGGTGGATGAGGTGTTGGTTAGATTGGAAATGCTTACAAGTGGAGACAGACTTTGGTATGGAAGCTTATCTTCCCTACCAATTTTAAGGTGAAGAGGTAGGTGATTCTCTGCCTACTGTGGAACTGTTGTACAATTCCAGATTCCACCAGGTGTTGGATGAGGTTGAATTACAACTATGGTCTATCACATCCTAGCTACTCAACACCAGGTGTCCCATTACATAGTAATATGTATTATCGGATTCCCTCATTTTTTTCTGCCTTTTATGTTTACGACACAGTCATAAAAGAGTGAAGAGTATACCTGGATAAGATGTGGTGTGGTCTACTGCTGAGGTGTGATATTTTCTCTTTTTTTTTGGTTCCACACCTCATGGTCTTTCTTTGGGCTCTTCCTAGAAGGGAATCATTTTTTCACCAGCCTTCCACCAGTTCAATGTGGGATTGGATATCGTATTGGAAGTTAACATTTTTCTAAATTGAAAATGTATTTCCAATAGATACTTACCTCCTATCACGTTTTCCACCCAGCCTCCTCACTTCCAGTGACACGTGGTGTAGGTCTTCTGACCAATCTCGAAGTGATTAATAAGTGCAACTGTGGAAAGAGCTCTGGTTATGATAGGGGTTGTGTCATGCTCCTATTAGTGGAGAGCTGCTGCATAATCATTTACATGTGGATATGCAGAAGCGAGAGGTGGAAGGCTAGTGGCAAACATAGAAAATTTGTGAGTGGAGGTAAGTATCTGTAGGAAATATACATTTTCAGTTTAGGAAAATGTTAACTTTCTTTTAGTAGCTGCACAACAATATTTACTTTTAAATGTCTAATAACAAAAAAGTTAACCAACTCGATAACATTCTCTGGTATCAAGCTTTCCAGAAGCCCTGCTTTTTCATACTCTTTTGTTACTCCCCATAATTGTTCTTCATTAAAAAAAATTATCCTATTATCAGTAGTTTGTTTTTGTTGTTTCCTGGGTAAGGATATTACTGCATATGTTCTAAATTTTTGTTTGTTTGCCAGTATATTACTTTCATTAGCAATAAAATAAAAAAGCTTGTGTTTTATCCTGTGATTTGTAACATCAGTTTAAATAAACAGAGAAGAATGAAAATATGTAATGATATGATATTATATAGCTAATTTGTCTCTTGTGAAGAAAACCCAGGGCAATATTTCATGATGAGATAAAACCTACATGGTAATTTACATGAAATGTGTAGATCACTTAATCAGCAATCACAGTTTCATTGCTGAGGTAAAAATGGAAAATTATAAAAGATTGTCACAAATCACGTACAGTATATATGTTATATAAGAATTAAGTTATGGGAGAGCCACATAAAGACAACTAGTTATGTAAAACAAATCATAGTATTGCTGTACTTCTTCATTACCTTCCATACAATCTTTTTAACTTATTATTAAGGTCCCACTTCTGTTTGTATTGTTTGGGAGGCCTGTAATACTATAACTTATTATTATCTGTTTCATAATATTGTATGTGTGAAAACAAAAAATATGGATGATTTAAATTCCTGAGACATAGAGTAAAAAGATTTAAGTAGTGTGACACCAAATTTTGACAAATCATCAAAGAAACGAAAAAAACCTTTCATTCTTGCACTCAACAAAGGGATAAGTATGTTCCAGATTACGAAAATAAAAATACATTAAACGTTTTGTATGCACTCTAACTCTGTACATGTGATAATATATAATCAATCAAATTCAGGAATATTTTACTTTCAGTTATTAAATACACCTAAGTTTGCCTGTTTTTTCTTTCATGGGTGCTTTATAAGGATATGCAGAGGAACTCTTGTGATAAAGGAATGTTACTCATGTGAGATGTGGGTGATAGATTGGTTATAAGAAGGATTAAATAATAGTTTTTTTTGTTTGTTACCCACGTAACAGCCGGTCAAATAGATACACTTATAAGACATGTAAAAAAAAATTACAAGATCTTGATTTAATAATAAGTAATTTCAAATGTATTTTGAGAAAAAACTGTCTACTGTACTAAAGATCATTAAATTAGCATATATGTATATATATATTTAATGTTTTCTGTAAAGTTACCAAAAAATTTGAAGACAATTTTTATGACTTAATTTTACTTACTTTAGCTTTTTAATGATCTTCTCCAAATATCTGAGTAGAGAAGTTAAAGTCATTTAATGATAAATGTAAGTGTTTATTTTATGATTGATTAACTACACATTATCTATCATTTTACTGTGCTAAAAATAACCATTATAAATATGTAAATTAAATGTTTCTTGCAGTAGCCAGATAATTCAAAAAATAATCAATAAACAAAAGAAATATGATTCCTCCTGACCAATGTAATATGAATTACCAGTTACAAAAAACAACAACATAAGAATGACCAGTATTAAAGTAACACATAATATAATATTGATCAATAAGCAAGAACGATCAATATATTAAAATGACCAACAATCAAAAATAACTTATGGTTGATTAATAAGTAATATAAACAAAGTAAATAACGAGTTACTAGCATATAACAAGAATTACCAATAAACAGCATAAAATTATAAAACTATTATGGTAAGAAATCGAAAAATACTAACTCACGTAAGAGTGACTTATAATATGAATAAGGTATGCAATTTACATGCCCTCCAGTGGCACAGCGGCATGTCTGCGGACTTACGCAAGAAACCGGGTTTCGATACCCGTGGTGGGCAGAGCACAGATAGCCCATTTTGTAGCTTTGTGCTTAAGTTATAACAAAACAAACAAGCAATTTACATAACATAAGGATAACCAATATAGCAACAAAATATATACAAGTGGACAATGAACAACAATCAAATCTACTTTCTCATAAGTGACAACCACTTTACAATGAGAGATAGAAAACTATTATTATTATTATAAGAAAAGGTTCAAAGTCTGTTCTGTATTAGCTGTTGTTTGTTGTAGCGTTATTTTTGTGTGTGTATAGTTACACAAAGGGCCGTATTCGCTCTGTCCACCACGGAAATTGAATCTCGGAGTTTAGCATTGTAAATCCAAAAAACTATTGACCCACCAGGGGGACTTTGTGTTAGCTTTCTTTGTTTCAAACAATAATTCAAGTAACTATTAGATGAATAGACACCTCACTTTTAAACTTTATCATGATGGTCCATTGGAGCTTTGGCTGTGGTAGGAATTTCTTACTGAAATGCGGGTAAACTTTTTTCATAAGCATTCCTAATTTTTTCTTACATCCGTATACGCTTTTATCTGATCCACAGAGTTTGTTTTAATGATCCGAAAGTATAACAGCAAAACCTCATTTATTCATATACTGATTAGTGAAATGCAACAATAATTTAATTTTCATTGCAATGTTCTCAGTTAAACTGATTTCTCTACAAGTAAAGAATGGGACCGCTAATAACATAAGGGTCGAAGAGGATATATATACTGAATAATATAACTCTGCAAACTCGTCTGAGTTTTTATGTTGGGTGAGAAACACACAGGCTGGACACGTTTTAAGGACAGAGAAGACAATCTTTATTACAAACACATACACACAATGAATGTGTGCACATGGTGCAGTAACTAGATCTTCAGCTTTTTTCCCCATCGATTTGAATCTCTGCAGAACCAGTCACAATGAAATCCAAGTATGAAAAATTCCAAAAATTAGGTTTCCTGCACACACGAAACTATCAATTTCTTTGACTTGCTGGTGCCACCACGTGATCCTATCACTCTATTAACACTTAGTCTTAAATATTTCAATGTATTTTCCTCCGCATAGAGAGAGACAAGGAGCACAAACTCACGCTCGGACAAAATAATTCCAATAGTTTGAGCCAGTGTTTTCATGCTAAAAACAACATACAAGAAAATCTTACAAAAATTTCCCTGTCACTAACGAACTAAGTCAGTTTCTTAAAATAATTCAAAACTAGTAAATATCTTGTTCGGATCGTCCATTATTCCGCGGAATTATTTTGTCACTCTAAGTACAATTGTTTTACACAAGGATACAACAAAACAACGACCTGATGCATTGTCCAAGATTACATTTTTAATAACGTCAAAGGTAGTGGTTCCTAACTTTTTTTTATGTTATTCCATAAAGAAACAGAATATATGTAGGAACCTCACGGACCGTTGGGATCATAGGATATAGGCTTTACTAATATTAATATTTTTTCAGAAAAAATTATAACATTTTAATTATTATTATTATAAATATTATTTTCAGTAGATGTTTCTGTAGACCACTGGTCTAACCTATAATACAAGTAACTACATAAACATTAAGTTGTAAGCCGTAAAGAACGCATTAATTAACATGCGCGTGTGTCAGCTAGAAATATTTCACGTCATACGTGAGTGCATAATTAGATTTCATGGATCTTTTCAAACTGTAGTTACATATCTCAGGTTTCATTTATACAGAGCTTAAATATTACAAGCTACTAATGTATGCTAATTATAAGAAGTATTTACAAAAATAATCTAGTGTCAAGTGTTTTTCCTAACATAGCAATAACCAATAACTAATGTAGTTTAAGAATCACCAGTGATATATTATAAGAATGACCAATAATAGCACAAAATAATATTATAGTAACGAATAAACAATATAACGTAAGAATGGCTAATAGATCGTGGGAGTAATACTTCACAGTTGTACAAAGCGAAACGTTGAGACAAAAACTAAATAAATAAGTGAAGCCCCCCAGTGGCACAGCGATATGTCTAGGGACTTATAACGTTAGAAACTGAGTTTCAATACCCATGGTGGGCAGAGCACAGATAGCCCAATCAAATAATAATTCATGTTTAGAATATCGCATCAGTTTATTTTAAGTACCAATTAATTTTTCTTTTGAGTCAAAATGGAATTTGCAAGTTTTAGAGCAACTATGTAAATGCCTTTTTTCTCAGTATTTTGTAAATTAAACTACCTAATTTATTCTTGCATATATGCTTTATGTTATTTTATTTGTTATAAGTATTAAATTAATTGGTTATTAGATTGTTTGAGGATCCAAGTAATTTTAGTAGTTTTCTTTAATCTGGGCATTCTTTCATCTCTTTCTTTCTCTTTTGGAAGTATATAAAAGTACAGTGGATAAATTTTATTTGCATTTCTAATGTTACGGACTATTTTGATAATTATAAGTAAGCAAAATTTTAATAATTGATATTATATTGTAATTGTAAAAAAGAGTAAATTATTCTTTATCCTAGCACAATAAATATAAATACATATTGTTATACTTGTTGAACGTGCACGATACAAAGTGGGTTAACTGTCCATTTAACTATAATACAGGCAGTGAAATTAACTATTTGTTTTCAACTTTTCAGTTATACAACAAAAAAGTAAATTGGTTATGTCATAAAGTTTATTATCTTAATTAATTTCAAATTTTTCTGCTCGGAATAAATGCCTTACATCAAAATTATAAAGTTATAGTTTGCATGAGGAGATTTGTTTGTTGTTAAGCACAAAACAATACAATGGACTATCTGTGCTGTGTTCACCACAGGTATCGAAATCTGATTTTTAGCGGTATAAGCCTTCATAATAAGAAATGGTAAAAGTTTCAGAATATTGAATGTTCTGTTTTTACATCTAAAGAAATTATGGGAGGGAAATAAAGTCTTCGGGGAATGACTTAGCTCTCAGTTATTTGCTTTTGTCTTAATCTTCTGTACAAAAACTACGATTTGTAAAAAACGGAGTACGGTAATCCTTATCGTTAAACTTGCAATAGTATTACTCCCTGCTACTGAAGCGAAAAATAATACGCGAAAGTATTTTACAGTTTGAAAATTACTTATATGCATCACTCGAATCAGCAGATATTGTAAAGTACCTTGATTAACACAAAATAAACACTATTCTATGCTTCTCTTTCTTTTTCACGTTTATTTAAATCACAGCGCTCTTTCTCATGCCTAAGGAATAAACTGTTACTTTTCTCTCAATAATTCAATATAGGAAATTCTGTTAGCAAATATAAATATTCCCGAGATTATAATATATTACAAACATACTTATTTTCTCCTATTTTGCTTATTTATATATTAATTTTTTGCGTCGAACCGTTTTCACCAGAATGTACTTTATATGAATGTATTTGGAAGTGGAATTTTTTACTTTCTTTAATAACGTTGCTCCTACGCAAACCATCACAAGTGCCTGTCACAAACGTGAAAAGCACGTGGAGGTATTTTAAGGAGCTATGTTACAAACATTGATATTAATTGGTCAATAACTTCGGGTTCATTCGGAACGTTTCGGAACACCAGAATCGTTACAAAGTGACCAATCAGTTTACAAAACTCATGTTTGATCGTACAAAAAATAAAATAATCCGAGTGTATCCGAAATCCGTTATCGAACGATGTTAACAAAACAAACGTCAGGGAACGAAGGATTAAGGGACCGCCATATTCGTGTCGTCTATAATTGGTTGTTGTTCTCTAGTTGATTGAGATGAGCATTGCAGCACTAATACAAGCTGCCGAATACTTAGACAGAAGAGAAAGAGGTGAGTGCTAGAAATAATTTGACTACAACCATTGCACGTAATAGAGAATATTTTTGCTTTTTTTTCAATTTGTAACAAAATCAACATGGTGTCTTACGTAGGTTTCGAAGCAACAGCGATCAGCTGATTTTGACGTGGAAAGCACGTTGGTTAGATAGGGTCGCTACTTAGGCCTAAGTAAAGGACAATTGCATTACAGTAATTTATTATTAATATTAGTCTAGCAGCCGCTCTGGTAATGGTATTTTAACTTTAGGATTATGCGCAACCCACCTGCAAGAACATTTTGGGTTGTATAGTTTGTATTATGTTCAGGGACACCTCTACTACTACTACTACTAGGGTAAAACACAGGGTGGATGTAGATGTGTAAAAGTGGTGCAGTTTTCCTTGCACTTAGAGTTAGAACTAGAATTTACAACTTATACTGTTATAATTACAGTTGGAGGTTATGGAGAAAATGCCACCAGTAAAGGCCTAAGAGAATGCGTATATGTCTTGGTAACATCAATTCTGTGAACTTTTTAAAAGTTATAAAATTTAAATGTATTGTATAACAGTAACAGTGCTTTAACCATGTTTATGTGTTTGATATTGTATATGTATCGCACTAAACTTCATAAGACTAGGTGTCATCGTCATTGTTTTTAGTACTAAATTATCAGTACATGTGTACAGTACTATGTCTACAGAAGAAACTGAAAACCAAAATGAAATGCTTTTAAAGGTAAATCTGTTCATTATATAAAAAAAAAACTGAATAAACTTATTGAATTGATATTTTTGTCATATCATCTAAAGCTACAATAGCCTATAGGTAAGCAGTATTGTTGTACTAAGTGATATGCTCCCACCAAATACTAATTGTGAAGAGTATGTCATCTATTGTTTGAAGTACAATGAGACAATGTTTCAAAAGCACACTAGTACCAATAGTACTTAGTGTAATAGAAAAAAAATATAGTCAGGTACACACACAGTGCTGATGACTGAGATTTCATATTGAGATGGGGATTTTTTTTTTACTTTCTTTGCATTCATGGTGATGCTGCATTGATACTTTGATGCCCTTTTCAATGAGATATTTTAAAAGTAAAATGTAATATTTTCACAATTTAAACTAGCATACTGAAACTGTAATCCAGGTAAATGTAAACAATAATTGCAAACAGACATACATTTAAAATTTGGTTAAGCCTAAAATTAGGTAACCAAGCCTATAGCCAGGTCTAGAAGTGTGTGTGTGGGGTGGGGGGGGGACATTTCATGTGTAACTTTAGTGCCCAAGGACAAAAAAAATTCCAAAATGTGTAATGCTTTCTTTATTATCGCAGCAAATAAACATTTCTAATAAATATTTTCTGATAAGTATGAGAATGCTATTTCTGCATGTTTGTACAGTGTTACAAAAGCAATTATTTAATGAGAGGCCATCATCAAAGAA